CTTCTTCAATGATTAAAGACATGTGTGCAAAGTGGAGTAAGTTGTAAAGTTTTGTGGAGAAATATTACCCTAACAAAGCTGTTGCAAGCCATGTCTGAAACATGTTCAATGACAATGCCTTGTCCCATTTTAGGCAAATCTTAGAGACGCCAGAAACAGACCTCTCTGGACAGATTTTTTGTGCGACAGGGGTACAGTGATTCTCAAGCTGGTCCTAGTGCCAGTAAAAGACAAAGAAGGAAAGTAACCCCAGATAGGGCCTTGATATTTAAAGTCCTTATGGAAGGGAATTCCCCTTCCAAATAATACCCTCTCTTCCTCCCTCTCCCCTACTCACCATTTTTATACGTATTTATTTCTCATTGTTTTCTGTATGTAAAGCTATAGTTATTCTCTATAAAATGTATTGTTGTTAGTATTTTTGGGTGTCCAGAACAGATTAATTTGATTTACATTATTTCTTATGGGAAATATTGCTTCAGTTTTCGTCAAGACTTTTTAGAACGGATGAATCACGAAAACCGAGGTTCCGCTGTATTGTATATACATGTTATAGTTTAATAACAAATAATGAACAAACAAAACACTCACCACTTGTAAAGTTAGGCAGACAAACTCTGACGACTTGTGATGATGATGATAATGACGATGATGGTGATGAAAGCCATGTTGTTACTGATGACAGTTGAATGGAGATTATATGGAGTGTAACTGCATGGCATGATGAGTGTAGTGTGTGGATTCTAACACTTCACTGCCAGCGTCACTGCCAACATTGCTAAAGTCAGAGTTAGAAACGGAGTCGGATTCTGCCACGGGTTGAGGTTCAGGTGAGGCGGTAGGGGTAGCGGCAGGGGTAGTGGCAGGCTTCCTTGTGAAGAATATTGTAATGGGCAACTGAGACCATTTCTTCTTCATATCTACAAACAGAGTTTTGTAGGGAATTATGCTCCTCTCAGTGTCGCTCATCACCTTCAAAGCCCTCAGCATCGATGGGTCTATGTTGTAAAAAAATTGTTTGAGCTGTGCTGTCATTCTCATCACTTGCACTGGTTTTTCAAGGGGTGAGGGCTTGAGGTTGATTGGCCTCAACAACAATCTTCTCTTCTTCATCCTCACTCTCTGCCTGCACAATCTCCAACAATTCTTCATCATTAAGGCTCAGTGCATGTTCTTCAACCACCCTCATGCATGTCCTCGAACCCTTCACCACCAACTAGGCTTGCTAACTCCACAGTCTTCCTCACGTTTTTTTTAACCTTGTCCTGTGCACCACTGTCTGAGGGTGAAAACCCCTGACACTCTCATGCACTATTGAGAGGCAGTCAGCGATGGTGAATTTCTTCCAATAGTGAGTGACACTCATATCAGGATCTGCATCCAACACAGCGTCGAGCCTTTGCATTGACCTTCGTGTGTAGTAGGCTTTAAATGTAGCCATCACACCCTGAAAAAGAGGTTGTATCAGGGAGGTTGTGCTTGGCGTCATGAACACAACCTCAACATCATCTCACATTCCCTCCAATGATGGTGGATGACCTGGAGCATTATCAAGAAGCAGGAGGATTTTGTTTGGGAGGCCCTTCTCTTGTAGATACACCCGTACCTCTGTCAGGAAGCAGTGGTGAAGCCAGTCCATTCAGATGATGTTGGTGGTTCATGCTTTCGGATTGTGCATCCAGAATACTGGAAGGAGGTTCTTGTTGTGTCACCTCAGTGCTCTGGGGTTGGCAGCTGTATAAATAAAGCCTGGCTTTACCATGTGCCCAGCAGCATTAGCACATAGCATTAATGTGCATCGGTCTTTCACAGCCATGAACCCTGGTGCACTCTTCTCCTTGGCAGTGAAGGTCCTGGCAGGCATCTTCTTCCAGTACAGGGCTCTTTCATCCATATTCCTCACCTACTCAGGTCTGTATCCCTTCTCATCGATGATTTTTTTCAAAGTGCCAGGGAATGCAGCTGCCGAATTGTGATCTGCCGAGCCTGATTCTCCACTCATCCTCAGGTTGTGCAGGGAGAACTGTCTCTTAAATTTATCAAACCATTCCTTACTTGCTAGGAAGTCAGGATGGGTGATGGTAGGACATCCTGGTTCTGCACTGGTACTAACCTCATCATTAGCCAAACGTATCATACAAAGTCTTTCCCTTTGCACAAATCGCATTGCTGTCTATGGGATTTCCTTTTCCATTTTGATCTGTAATCCTCACAAACAATGCTGATTCCATATTAGACACCACACTGTTTCTTACTTGTGATGCTTGCTTAGCTGAGGGAGGAGCAGTAGTTCCTAGTGCCACTCTTGTCTTCGTTTCATTTTTCTTGATAGAGCGCACTGTGCTTTTGTTTACATTTAATAATTTTCCAATGGCAGAATTGCTCAGATAACCTGCCCAACATTTGTCTAGCAATTTCACCTTCTCCAGATTCATGACTTTCTTTGAGTGCTTAGGGGTTGGCTCATCAATGGCGGTTGCTGCTCGCAACCGCTATTGCGAGTCCTACCTCCATTGCAAGTCCTACCTACTGTGTCCTACCATACACACGTGTACAGTAGGACACGAACAGTGACTGGAAATGACTGACGCTAACAGAACCTGGACAATGACTGAGTGAGTGGCGGACTGGCCGGCTGCCGGTTGAGGGGGTAAGAGGGAGGGTAGTAGGGACACGGTGGAAAGTATTTTCCTGTACTTTTTCCCGCACTTGTTTGGTAAATGTGATTGGGCGGCTGGGCATTCATGAATGATCAAAGCTTGCAAAAGTGGAGGGCTAGCTGTAGTTGTACAAAGCATTTCAGGCAAACTAAAACCAGAACTCAGAATTACAAAATCTACTTAACACTGATGTGTTGAAAGTAATAGATTGTGTGGATACTAAGTGAGCATAACTATGTTGTCTGTTATTAATGTATAACAAAACTCTTTCAAGACAGTATGAAGATAGAGTAACATGATCTCTTGTACTGGAGTGGTTATATAACATGATCTACAGCTGTAGTAGTCATGTAACATGATCTACAGCTGTAGTAGTCATGTAACATGATCTACAGCTGTAGTAGTCATGTAACATGATCTACAGCTGTAGTAGTCATGTAACGTGATCTACAGCTGTAGTAGTCATGTAACATGATCTACAGCTGTAGTAGTCATGTAACATGATCTACAGCTGTAGTAGTCATGTAACATGATCTACAGCTGTAGTAGTCATGTAACATGATCTACAGCTGTAGTAGTCATGTAACATGATCTACAGCTGTAGTAGTCATGTAACATGATCTACAGCTGTAGTAGTCATGTAATGTGATCTACAGCTGTAGTAGTCATGTAACATGATCTACAGCTGTAGTAATGCAACATGATCTACAGCTGTAGTAATGTAACATGATCTACAGCTGTAGTAATGTAACATGATCTACAGCTGTAGTAATAATGTAACATGATCTACAGCTGTAGTAATGTAACATGATCTACAGCTGAAGTAATCATGTAACATGATCTACAGCTGTAGTAGTCATGTAACATGATCTACAGCTGTAGTAGTAATATAACATGATCTACAGCTGTAGTAATGTAACATGATCTACAGCTGTAGTAATGTAACATGATCTACAGCTGTAGTAATGTAACATGATCTACAGCTGTAGTAGTCATGTAACATGATCTACAGCTGTAGTAATATAACATGATCTACAGCTGTAGTAATGTAACATGATCTACAGCTGTAGTAATGTAACATGATCTACAGCTGTAGTAATGTAACATGATCTACAGCTGTAGTAATCATGTAACATGATCTACAGCTGTAGTAATGTAACATGATCTACAGCTGTAGTAGTCATGTAACATGATCTACAGCTGTAGTAGTAATGTAACATGATCTACAGCTGTAGTAATGTAACATGATCTACAGCTGTAGTAATGTAACATGATCTACAGCTGTAGTAATCATGTAACATGATCTACAGCTGTAGTAGTAATGTAACATGATCTACAGCTGTAGTAGTAATGTAACATGATCTACAGCTGTAGTAATCATGTAACATGATCTACAGCTGTAGTAATGTAACATGATCTACAGCTGTAAGTAATCATGTAACATGATCTACAGCTGTAGTAATGTAACATGATCTACAGCTGTAGTAATCATGTAACATAATCTACAGCTGTAGTAGTAATGTAACATGATCTACAGCTGTAGTAATCATGTAACATGATCTACAGCTGTAGTAATGTAACATGATCTACAGCTGTAGTAATCATGTAACATGATCTACAGCTGTAGTAATCATGTAACATGATCTACAGCTGTAGTAGTAATGTAACATGATCTACAGCTGTAGTAGTAATGTAACATGATCTACAGCTGTAGTAATCATGTAACATGATCTACAGCTGTAGTAATGTAACATGATCTACAGCTGTAGTAATCATGTAACATGATCTACAGCTGTAGTAATGTAACATGATCTACAGCTGTAGTAATCATGTAACATGATCTACAGCTGTAGTAATGTAACATGATCTACAGCTGTAGTAATCATGTAAAAATGATCTACAGCTGTAGTAGTAATGTAACATGATCTACAGCTGTAGTAATCATGTAACATGATCTACAGCTGTAGTAGTAATGTAACATGATCTACAGCTGTAGTAATCATGTAACATGATCTACAGCTGTAGTAATCATGTAATACAGCATAAGGATATTGGTTCTTTGTCTTCATTAAGAGTATTTTCTTCCTAATGTTTAAGATTGCTGTAGTTTCCTCAAAATGTTTTTCTTGTAAATCAGAGAATACCAAGATGCCAAGGAGAGAGGAGTGCAAACATCAGACACAAGATCAAGCCTCCACCACTTCATGTTCTGAATAACCCCTACAGGTTTACTGCTTCACAATAATAATCATAAGAATAATAATAATTTTCTCTGCAATCTGAATGTATGGTTTTTTACTTCACTTTAACATTTGTTTTATTGTTTTTTTATTTAGGAAGATGGGCGAGATACAGAGTGTGATAGAGCTGTATGTTGAAGTGCAAGACTGGGAAGAAGCCTTCATATGGGCAGACAAACATCCAGAGTATCGACAGCTTGTGTATGTACCATATGCAACATCCTTAGCCGAGCAGGATAAGTTCCTGGAAGCTCAGAGAGGTTAGTCACTCTTCTCTCATTGCTTATATACACTTAATTTTAATAATATTTTGTACTGTAGTTTTTATAGTACAGTAATATCTTTAATCTACATAATTATTGTATTCTGTATTTTTCCATTTTAATTTGTTTCGAGCAAATAAGCTGAAAATGAATACAGTGGACCCCTAAGTCTCATGAGTAATTCGTTCCAGAGAGACGCGATGCCGAATGGCAAAACATTTCATAGATAATGTAAATCCATTTCTTCACCCATAAAAAAATAATTTTTAAAATTAATCATGATTTCAGAAACAGCAAAAGTATAAACAAATAAAATATATGAATTTAATTATTTATGAAGATTTAATTTATAGACATTACAGGGAAAACAGATATGCTCAATATAAATATAAAGCATTAATATACAGTCATTAATAAATGTAACAATTTAAACAAACAAATGACTTATTACAGGACTCTTGTTAGTCACTGCATGTACCAGTTATGAGTGTATGATGTAAGGCTTTGAGATTATTTGCGTCGAATATGATGCTAATATACTCTACAATTATTTTATTGAAAAATGCGTCAATATGGCATAATAAACAAAATTAATAACATAGAAAAATGATATGTACTCTAGAATGAATAAAATATGTCATACCATAAGTGAGGAGTAAGTGGTGATGGTGTTGTTGTTGGGTTTATAAAGGCCACCGAGAGAAGCCATACATATTAGTGGTGGTGGAGGGAGCAGCAGAAGCCACCAGCACTATTCACGCCGAAACAATGTACAGTGGACCCTCGGCTAACACCTTCAATCCGTTCCAGACAGCTAGCCTTTAACTGATTTAGCCTTTAACCGAATTAATTTTCCCCATAAGAAATAATGTAATAGAAATCCAATTAATCCGTTCCAGACACCCAAAAGTATTAAACAAAATAATTTTTTTTACATGAGATATAAATTTCCCTACACAGAAAACAATGATACATGCACAATAAAGCAAGAATAACATCACACTTACCCTTATTGTGGACTTGATGAGTGATGAGACGGTAGGAGGGCAGAGGATGCAGGTGTTCTATTCTTTGGAAGGGGAATCCCCTTCCATAAAGACTTCAAGTAACAAGTCCTTTTCTGGGGTTACCTCCCTTCTTTGTTTTTTAATGCCACTAGGACCAGCTTGAGAGTCACTGGACCCCTGTCACGCAAAATATCTGTCCAGAGAGCTCTGTTTCTCACGTCCCTTTAAGATTTCCCTAAAATGGGCCACAAGAGTGTCATTGTACAAGTTGCCAATACAGCTTGCAACAGCTATGTCAGGATAATTTTCATCCATAAATGCTTGCAACTTTGTAAACATTGTACACATTTCCTTAATCTTTGACGAAGGCAACTTCCTCCATCTCTCTTCCTCCTCCTCTGAAGGAAATCCCTGAGCTTTGGTCTGTTGCTGTTGCACCTGAAGCTCTTGCAGCTCTGTAGTGGTTAGCTCTTCATTGTTGTCCTCCACCAACGCTTCCACATCCTCACCACTAACCTCCAACCCCATGGATTTCCCCAATGCCACAATAGATTCCACAACTGGCATAGGCTCCTTAGGGTCAGCCCCAAACCCTTCAAAATCCCTCTCTTGTACACATTGTGGCCACAATTTTCTCCAAGCAGAGTTTGAAGTCCTGCAAGTCACTCCCTCCCAAGCCTTACCTATAAGGATTATGCAACTGAGGATACGGAAGTGATCTTTCCAGAACTCTCTTAGGGTCAATTCAGTGTCTGAGGTCACTTCAAAGCACTTTTGAAACACTGCTTTGGTGTACAGTTTTTTT